TTTCACCAGAGCCAGGGTTTAGTCTAGCAAGGATTGTTCTAGACTAGAGTTGGAGTTCAGCCTCTGACACAGGCTCAGTCTTGGGCTACAGTCAGGGCTCGATGGCCCTGGGTCCAGAATCAATGCCTCAATTTAGGACCAGCTTTGGTCAGCCTTAGACCGGGGTTCAGTATTTGACTAGAGTCAGGGCTCTTCTTCTTTTTTTATAATTATTTATTGAATGTTATTTATTCATTCATTTATTTTAATTTGACTCAGAGAGAGACACAGAAAGGGAGAGAGAGAGGGCAAGTGACAAAGCAAGCCACCAGGTTCGGGATTTGAACCATGGCCAGCCATGTGGGAGTGCCCAGCGCCTTAACCACAAGCCACCTGCTGGTCCCCCGAGTCAGGGCTCTTTTAAGGTGATGGTTGGAGCCAGATCTAGAGCTGGAATAGAGGTTCAGTCCTGGCATGAGATCAGGGCTCAGTCAACACCAAGATTAGGGCTCAGGTTGTATCTGGGATCAGGGCCATGACCATAGCTTAAGCTTGGCTCTACCCTCTGTTCTGAGCTCCAATAGAGAAGTTTCTGGAGACCCGGGTGCTCAGGGCAGGTCAGTCTATAAGAAATTAGAGCCCCCAGGCAAGCTTAGCAGGGTCTGGTCCCTGCTGTCAGCCTCCCCTTGCCGGCTGAGGCCGGGTGTCCTACAGCCTTCTAACCTACATGGCTCTGCTGCTCAAGATCCCCTCGCACCAGAATAAAAATAGCCACTCACTTCAGAGCAGCTGACAGCGGGTGCTGGCCTGCCTGGGAGGAGGGGGAGCTGAGGAGAGGGAGGAGGGATTCCTGAGCTCAGCCCCAGCTGTGTGACCTTGGGAGAGTCACTCCTCCTCCTCCAGCCCATTTCCTGAGAGACAGAATGCGGGGTGAGGAAGACACCTGCCCCAGAGAGTGGGGACAAGGGGCAGTGACCTAATGTGTGCCTCTTGTTACCATTAAAGGACACCGGAGCAAAGTCTGGGGAGCAGAAATGCTCATTTGTGCCCTGTTTGCTTCCTCCTCAGGGCAGCCCTCCCTAATGCTCACCTCCTCTCTTCCCACAGCGTTCTCTATCACCTCCGTGCCTTTCCAGACGTTTCCCAGATGGTATCCGTAGTATAACTTCCCTTAGAATGGGTCTGGGTCAGGGTGGCCAGGAGGGGAAAGGAAGGACAGACCCTTCTGTACCGTTGCCACCCTTGGATGTCCTTGGAAGGAGTAAGGAAGAGGAAGAGAGAGAGAGGAGAAAGATTGCTCTCCATTCCCTGCTCTCAGTGAGCTAAAGGGCCGGGGGATGTTGCCCAAAGTCTTCATCCTTTCACAGCCAGAACCTTCCACACCCCAAAGGCTGGCACCTGCTCTTCCCTATTTCCCAGGGCAATTTTCCTCTTTGATTTGGCAACACTGATTCTCCTTCAAAGAAGGGGTTCGAAGGTCACCTCCAGGAGGGATTAAGGGGCTTGAAGATCACCTCCGAGAGATACTCTGCCACCTCCCTAGAAGCCTTGTGCTCTGTCCTCTACTAGCTGAGTAATTCCTGGGCCTCGGTTTCTTCCTCTGTCAAACGGGGGTCTTGTTATCAGCCTCACAGTCACTATGCAGAGATTCTGGGGATATCTGTCAACCACTCGCACCCTCCCTATCCCTGACCCATGCAGCCCGGAAGGGGAGCACTAAGAGTTTCTAGGAGGGGAGCTGGATAAGCTGCACCCTCTGCTTCGGTACACCGCCCCCCCCAGCCCCCCAGAACGAGGAAAGGGAGGAAAGCCGGAGGGGCCTCCGGAGACAGCCGTCTCCAAGGGGGCGGTTCTCCCTGGCAGCTGCCCCCGGCCTGCCGCCCTGAGCCCCAGAGCCTGTTATCAGCCTCCTTAGTCATCACGCCAGGAGCTCAAATATAGCTCCTACCCGCTCCCTTCTCAGTCAGGGTCCGCCTCCCCCCTCGCCCCCTTCCCCTGGAAAGGCCAAGCCTGTGTCTCAGATCCCTGATCCCCGTCCCCTTCTTCCCAAGAACACAACTGCTCTCGGCCTCAGTTTCGACATCCACCAAATGGGCAGGCTGGACTAGGAGGTGAGGACGGAAACTACAGAGAATCCGATTTCATAGAGAGCTCGGGCGCCCAGCTCTGCGCTAAATGATCATGCATGTTATCCCATTCGGCGCTCCCAGCAAATGTAGGAGACTCTGTTATTTTTTTGTTCTATGTTTTGTTGTTGTTGTTGTTGTTTTTATCCCCCTTACACAAATCAGGACCTCCCCCAAATAGGCAGTGGCAGGGTTAAAAACAAAGTTCCCTGCAGGGTCTAAGCTCAGGGAGGGAGGGATGATGGGAAATCCTGGGCTGTCCCCTGGAGGAGAGCAGCCTTCCACATACACATTTGCATAACATTTGTCTGGCCTAGGAAGGGCACTGATGCTTCAGTCCCAGCCCCAGATGGCTGAGTGCTGGGCCTGGTCCTAGGGACCTGCTTCTGTCCCATCCCCCCAAATCCCCTCCAGGGTTACATCAGAAGCTGGGTGCCTTTGGGAGCCTCAGTTATCTCGTTTGTAAAATAAGAGTCAGGGGGTGACACCATAACACTCCACGAGGCAATCCCACATGGAATGGTTCCCAGTTCAAGTCCTGAGACACCCCCTGCTCCTGCCACCCGAGTCTGTCAGGCACATGCCCATGATCTGGGGCTGGCTGAATGCTGGGGACAGATCACAATCAGGACCCCGTGGGGGGATCTCTCTCTCCTCTCTCTCCAGAAATAAATAAATAGATGTTTTAGTTTTGGCTTAAGGGTGTATTCACCAAAGAGACAGAGGAAGAGGGTGAGAAGAAACCCACACACACCCCTGGGGAATGGACATGTCACAACCTCTTCTCCCCCACCTCTCTCTCTTTTTGAGATTTTGAGGAGGCGCACACACACACACACACCGGGCGTATTCCTCAAGCTGCTGCATCTGGGACTTGAACTATGTGGTCAGCCACGTGGGTTCTGGCTGCCTGAACTGCCAGGCCTCAGAGCAGGCCCAATAAACCTAAAACATAAATAAATAAGAGTCAGAGGGTCTGAGCAGGATGAGTTTGAATTTTCCTCCCCTCCCTGGTGACCTGAGCATCACCACTGTGTCCACTCTTACCTCCTCCCTCGGCGCCATCCCACCTTCACCTCCAATCCATCACCACCCTTTCCATCTGCACATCCGCCATCTCCTCTGCCCCATCTCTTCCACCTTTAATGCCCCCTCATCACCATCACCACTACCCCTTCATTCCACTGCCTCCACCATCACCGTGACCTGCCCCTTTGTTATCACCTCTACTATCCCATCACCATCACCTCCACTTCCTCCACCATCACCCATGTCACCATCACCTCCCACCCCCCGTGTCCCCCCCCCCTCCACTTCCCCCATCACCCACGTCACCATCACCTCCACTTCCTCCACCATCACCCATGTCACCATCACCTCCACTTCCTCCATCACCCATGTCACCATCACCTCCACTTCCTCCACCATCACCAGTACCCACATCGTCATCACCTCCACTTTTGCCATCGCTGGCACCTCCACTGCCTCCCCCAGTTCTGTTTAGCTGAACCATCACTATCACCTCCACCTCTGTCAACACCTTCACCGCCATCTGCACTCCCTTCACTGTCAGCTCGCACTCCATCATCATAATTCCATACATCACTACGTTCACCACTGTGGTCACCCACCCCCCAGCCCCTGTCATCATCGGCAGCCACTGTGTCACTGTTCAAAGATCCAAAGATCTTTCTACCCCAGCACTGTAATATGACCTGAGTCTTTGCCCCTGCAAATTCCAGCCTCACAAAGACGCTGGCCCAGAAATGCAGACTAGACCCAGAGGCAGTGGAGCAGAGGTGACCTTCATGCAGGGGTCTGCACAGGCCCATGAAGGTGCAGAGATGACTGTTGACCAACAGGAAGTCCTGGGCACAAAACTCTTCACGTTTTCTGCATGACTGGGCGGCGCACTCCTCTCTAAGCAACTCAGCTATTCTAGAAGAATTGGAATTTCAGAGACCACTTAGCGGAAAGGAGTGAGAATGGAGAAGAGCAGGAACAGAGCCCGCAGTCATCTCTGTTCATTCACTCATTCATTCATCCCCTAAACCTGGTGGGGACCAGCCCTGTGCTGGGTCCTGGCCATAGGGGCCCCTAGGTCTGTTTTTGGCCCTCCAGCCAGTCCGTTCCCCCACTGCTGGCTCTGCTGCACCCCAGTTCCCTTCCTCCAGGCACCCTAATTGTGCCGGTTTCAGTTACTGAGTTTCCTCACTGAAATGCAGGACACCGCTTCAGCTCAAAGGTGACCCTGAGCAAGACCCCTTTCTAAACCATACCCAGAGAGAGGAAAATGGGAGGGACAGGCCTGGATGTGGGGACATCTGAGGGCAGCGAAGTATCTGCTGAAGAGGAGGGGCTGGTACTGGGAAAGGACTCCAGTGGCTGGAGCCTGAGTGTCTGGTTCTGGGATGGGAAGGAGAATGCCAGGCGGGGGATGGAGGGGGGTAAGGGGGGGGCAGACACAAGGCCTGAAAATGGGGCAAGGGTGGGGGCCAAGGCGAGGCTTGAGCTGGCATGAAGTCAGGAAGGTCATGGGATCAGGGTAGGACTCAGGTGTCTCTGAGGCCCTGGAGAGCGTGCCAACCTCTGAACCACCTGCCCCTACCTTGCCCACAGGTGTGACACTGCCCCTCCCTGGAGCAAGGGCTGGCAAGGCCTACTGGCAGGAGGGTGGGGGCAGACAGACAGCCTCTTCCAGGCTGCCAGTTAGGACCAGGGCCAGGCCAATGGGCATGTTCTTCCGCTCCCCTCCTCCCTACACACACCCATAGCTATTCCAGCCTCAGCAGCCCTCTTGAAGTGTTCCCAGTGTGTAGACACCTTGCCCTGGCCATGCCAGGTTGGGAAGAAGGCGCCTGTGCCTTTAAATTCTCAGCAGGTTGAACCGGCTGATGACATCACTGGTTCCCGGGAGCGGAGGAGCTAGAGCCAGAGCCCGAGGGAGTCCGGGCTGCTGGGGGCTGCAGACATGGAGGGCCAGAGCGGCTGTGGCAGAGGGAGGGTGGGGTCCAGGGCTGGTCTGGGACCCCTACCCGGGCCCCCTGGGGTTTTCCAAACTGAGACACCCTCTGAGGTAAGACCCCTAAAACCCAGCCCCCCCATTCCTGATCTCTGATCCCATATCCCCCACACTGCAGGCACCCCATTGCCCCTGACTGAGGGTCTGGCATTCCCCTCTGCTCACCAAGCAAGGGCTGGAGAAGAGGGCACCCTGAGGGTGGAGCGGCAGTGATGGGATGCCCAGAGACAGATGGAGTTAGCCCTCTCCAGTCACCCCCAGGAGAGCCCTGGACTGGGTGTCAGGGGACCCAGCTGTGCTCCAGCTTTGCTGTGTGACCTTGGACAAGTTGCTTATCCTCTCTGAGCCAATGCAAAATGAGGGGGCTTGTCTCTGAAGAGGAAAACTGTGGCATCTGGGATGTCTAAGTTGTTAGTGCTGGAGGCAGCGTGGTGGCTTAGGGGGAGGGGGCACAGAGTGGGACACTTGGAGCCAAGGAGTGTGCCCACAATGCAGCCCGAAAGAGCTGAGTTTGGGGAGGCTGTGCGGACAAGAGTTTCGGGTTCTCTGAACCGAGAAGGACACGGGACAGAGACAGAACTGCGTCTCCAGAGGCAGGGACGGGGCTACTCTGATGCAAGTGTAGACCTTCTTCTGCCCTCCTTGGCAAAAGGACTGCTTATCCTGTCTTCTGGAGACAGGGGACATCAGAAACAGGGGACAGATGGGAAGGGAGAGGAGGCGCCTGCAGGGCCCTAACACCGCCTTCCACCTGCCGACACAAAGGGGATAGCGGCTTGACTGTCCTCACAGGTGAGGGAGACAGGGAGAGGGTAAAAGGGCACGACCTGGGCGCAGGGAGGTGCGACCCCATGATCAATTCAGAATCGGGTTTGCTCTGAATATTAGCTCATACTCGGTGAGGATTGACTATGCCATGGGGCTTGAGCAAATGTTGCTCATAAGTGCACAGACTACAAGACCAAGACTCCCCAGAATATGGTATGGCCAGGGACCCCTCACCCAGGATAGGAGTCTGCCCAGACAGTCTGAGGCCCTGGGCAGAAAGGTGCTTACCTAAGAATATTAGCTCATACTCGGTGAGGATTGACTATGCCATGGGGCTTGAGCAAATGTTGCTCATAAGTGCACAGACTACAAGACCAAGACTCCCCAGAATATGGTATGGCCAGGGACCCCTCACCCAGGATAGGAGTCTGCCCAGTCTGAGGCCCTGGGCAGAAAGGTGCTTACCTAAGGTCACGCAGAGCTGGGTTTGGGATCTACATGCCAATCTCAGCCCCATCTCTTCCCGCTGCATGGAGTACTGAGAATGGGTGAGAGGACAGATAGGGTTCATGCCCAAGAAGTTTGGGGTGTTCCGCAGGGAGAACCTCAGGGTGTCTGGGCACCACGGAGGAAGGAGAGATATTTAACAGGCTAGACTCTGTGTGCCCTAAGTGGGCAGACCTGGGGTGTCAGGATTTAGGCAGGGGGAGCTGTAGAGACTGCAGTGGGAGGATTACCCAGGTTCCGACTCATGCTTTGCCTCTTTTGAGTCAGGGTCTCGGTTTCCCCAACAGTCAAAGAGGTTTCATACTTGGAAGGGATAGGGTTCTGAGTCCTCTCTCCTCCGAGAGAGAAGCTGACCTGCAGCAGAATGGATTGAGGTAAGAGAGCAGGAAGAACCTTCTTGGAAAGATGTGTCATTCTTAGATGAGGGTTGCCGGGGTCTCTATGGAAGTTGGGGCCCAATGTCCTGGTTAGGATCACCCTGAGTCTTTGACTTGTCCTCTACAAGGTGGATTCAAGTTTTCAGCTCCCAGCGAAGAAGAGCGCAGCCCTAGTACCCTCCGAACCAAGGCTGGCCCTGGCACCTGTGGGTCCACGCACAGCCATGTTGTCGTCCTCAGAAGGGCCGAGACTGGCTCTGGCATCTCCCCGACCTATCCTGGCTTCACTGTCTACTCCTGGAGGACAGAAAACGGCTCCTGCCTGCTGTAGCTCTGGCCTGGCTCCCACATCTGTGGGCCAGCTGGTGATGTCTGCCTCAGCCGGACCAAAGCCTCCCCCAGCAACCTCAGGCTCAGCCCTGGCTCCAACATCTCTGGGGCAGCTAGTGATGTCTGCCTCGGCTGGGACGAGGCCTCCTCCAGCCACCCTGGGACCTAGTCTGGCTCCAAATTCCAGGGACCAGAAAAAGCCGGTACCCCCTGTCTCCTTGAGGCCCAAGCCAGCACTGGCAGCCTCTGGCCTGAGCCTGGCCCTGGCTTCTGAGGAACAGCCCCGACAACCCTCCTCCAACCCTTCCCCTGTGCTCAGTCCAGTTCTGTCGCCCTCTCAAGACCAGATCCTGGCTCCATCCCCCATGACGACAGCCCCAGCCTCTGTGGGATGGACACCAGCTAGGCAGAGAGACATCCCAGCCTCTAGGCCTCTCCCTCCTTCCGAAGGGCATCTCCAGCCTCCGCCTCAGGCATCTGGTCCTACAAGCTCCTCACCCCCAACCCAAGCCTCCCCAGACCCTCGTTTCTCCCCCTCCTTTCGAGCTCGGCCTGAGGCCTCCCGAAGCAGCCCTGACGATCCTGTTCTGTCACGGCCACCCCAGACTCTGCCCTTGGATGGGGGTCAGGGCCTTCCAGAGCCTGGCACCCGTTCTCCTGGACTGCTGTCCCCTACCTTCCGACCAGGGGCCCCCTCGGGCCAGACTGTACCCCCACCTCTGCCCAAGCCACCCCGGTCTCCTAGTCGCTCTCCCAGTCGCTCCCCCAACCGCCCTCCATGTGTCCCCCCCACCTCTGACATGGCTGTCTCCAGGCCTGGCACCCAGGGTGCAGGGCCTGGAACCCAGGGTGGAGGGCCTGGCAGGGGCCTGAGGCCCAACCCTCCGAACCCAAA